TTTTTTTCATATCTGTTTCTTTGTATGACTGCATACCCCTCGTAAGTAGAGATAAACCATCAGGTGAACTAGTCTGCTTTTCTGTACTACATTTATCTTATCAGTATACAGTATCTGACATGCATATATTAGCTACATTCCTTTGAAAAAATGTCTGGGGGAAAAAATGCTTTTAGATAAGTACATAGGAAACTAATATCAAATCATACAAAAGATTAACAAGCGCAGTTGCTTACTACATCAGGGCTTTTTAAAATGATTTTTTTTTTTTTTTAATTCTGATTTTAGATAATGAATAAAGGAAAAGAAGAGAATATCCACATTCATTACACCAAAAAAGATCAGGTAACAGAAATTACAGAGAAAGCTGCTATTTTTTATAGGTTTTCAACAAATCCAAAATCAGGCAGCAGATTTAGGGCTTATATTCTTCCTGTATTTTCTCAAAGACAGCCTGGGTTAACATCACCAAGTCAGCGAGGCTACAGAAACACCGAACTGGAGCAACGAAAAGTGAGGCTGCTTTATGCACATGGGCTCAGAACAATTTGTCTTAGCCACCCCTTTATTATCTGATCTAAAAATTAGGTCAAATCCTGCAGCTATTTTTTAGTCTTTATCAGATGTATTTTCCAGTGGGTTTAACTCTACTCTTGTTTACACAGGCTCAGGCCTCTTTCATCCTTTTAACAGGAATTTTGCCCTGCTAGGTTTTATCTGTTCAATGACATCAGTCTTGTTACATAAAATTCACAGCAAAACTTTATATTGGGCTTGGGTTTTTTTCAACCAAAGGTAAAGCCACCCAAACCCTCTCCTTCCTCCCTCCACAAAAATAACATTTTTTTAATTGAGCAGAAAAACTGTATCAAAACATGTTAGTGACTCCTAGTGCTCCTGACAGGATGTGCCTAGAATAAATAAGAAACGTGTGAATAAACAGGAAATGCATTTTAGCACTTTCACAGGCCAATATTTCAGAAAATTACATCTTTCCAGCTCCACCAAGATATACAGTAGGTGTCCCTACTTTGTTGGTTACTGAGATATCTAGAATGGCAAAGTGAAAATTAACCCCAACAAATCTGTTATTTGAAGAGGACAAAATGCTCAGCTCTGTTCTCACGGGGAGACCAACGCCTCAGGAAGATGAATTCCATGAAATAGGAAAAAAGCTGAAAATATTGATGTTTCTATCACTTATTGTTTCTCCTCCTTTTCAGAAACAGCCTGCACAGAAGGGAGTGATTTCCTAGCATACTCGTCGTCCAGGAGCGCAACAGCGAGACGCCGTTAAGTGCCCTGAACACTTAGAGAAGCCAGGATGTTGGCTTTAGACTCAGACTCTTTTCCTGTTTATATTGCTAGCATGGGCAGCCTTTGAAAACCAGCAGCATCTTTACTCCGTATTTATAGATTACTCCCTTCCTGAATAACTGAAGCTATTGGCCGGAGTGATGTTGCAATTGATTTTCACAGAGAACTTTCATTGACTAGGTCGTTATGCACTTTCTGACACATGCCTGACCCTGCATTAAACAAATACAAGCCGCTTTTCCAGGATGCACATTTTTCACACTTTCAAATTACTTTTCAGTTAATTCTATTACACGCTCAGTGAACAGAGATGTTGAACGCTATTTTTTTTGTTTGTTTTAATGGAGTGCAGCTCCAGCCCTTGAGAGGACACAATAATTCCAGAATAAGACTGGTGGGCATAAGGGAGAAAAGAGAGAAAGAGAAGGAGAAAAGAAAGAGGCGAAGGAAAAAGAGGATGAGGAGGAGGTAAGGAAGAGGGAGAGGAAAAAGGAGAGCAGCTTTTCTTAACGTGCTACGTATGGCTAGTTATGTTACAGTTGTACCTGTCGAGATGAAATCACCAGGTTCAGGTATTAAAATAAATAATAATATAACCTAAGCAGAGCACTTTACATGCTCCGTCTACCCCTCACCTTTCCCAAAGGTGTCAGTGCTCACTTTTTGTACCAATTAAAAGTGAAGATTGCATTGGTGACAAACATGCAACTATAGCTGCAGACAGAGCTGGAGAGATGGACTCTTCTGCCCCTCTTAAATTTTGGACATCCTTGATTTTCTAGATTAATAAATACTGCATGGGGCCTACCTTGCATCCCAGACTCATGGTACATTGTGTAGCCATCAGAAAACTTACCAGCTGTGTTTAAAGTTTAGATAGGAAACAACTATTATATTGCCAGTACAGATTCAGTCCTCTGAAGTCAAGGCTGTGAATATAGACAAGTATCGGTATATCTGAGTCCCCAGTTTGAAATAGGGATCTTGTAGATCAAATGGCATCACAAAGTAAGGCATATATCCCACATCATATGTCTGAGTTCCTAAAAAAATAGCCCTGAGTTACCTGAGAAATTTATAGAAATCTGTGAAATTGGAAACGGACGATTTTGCAGAAAACGTGCTTTTGCTGTTTGAAAATCTGCAGTTTGAAGGTCTAACTCTTCAACCTTAATCCCAAGCAGTCTAAGTGACTTGCCTGTGTCACAGCTGCCCAAGAATCCCACATTGAGGAACAAGAGGTTAAAAAAACTTCACTAAAATACAAAGCCACGTCTGAGTTGCAGGCACATAAAACTTCCCGGAATTTATTTAACTAGACTGTTTTAAAAAAAACCCACCAAGGGTCTAGAAAAATCACTGAACTGATTGTTCCTCTTTCTCCAAAATATGGTAAGAAAAAGAAGCAAACTTTATGTTATGAGCGCCTTCAATAGAAATTTGGACAAGAAATTTGGGAAGAAACGGCAATTGATATAAAATAACTTGCATACACACACAATGATCATGTGTTACATAGAAATTAAGTGCACAGGTATGGCAGTATACAAAAGTTATTCAACCATCAAGTGAAATACACTCAGACTTCCAAACTGCGTTAATTTAATGGTCATCTGTCAAGGGGTAACTGGCAGGACATGAAAATCTACTTAATGAGTTAGCTTAGGAGTCATAATCTAAAAAACCTGTTCAAACATTGCTTAGCCTCTCTGAAGTGCTGGCTGCTCAGGAGACAAAAAATTGAAATGGCTCTCTTCTGTTTCAGTACAGAAAAAGAAAATCCTCAAAGTCTTGAAAAGTTTCCTGCCATGGGGAAAGCACTATGCACATATGTAACGGTGTTTCTAATTTTGCAGGAAGGCTGTCTGTACAATAATTTTCATTCCCTTTAGCCCTGGGGAAATTCTTCTCTGAGGCTAGTCCTGTACTCAAAAGTACAGGTCCTCTACTTCTAGTCAGTTACTTGGACTAAAAGCATTCAAAAATGGGTATTTAAATTGCACCTCCTAGATCTGTATCTGGATATTTACACAGAAGGTAACTCCTCTTCAAGAATTTAACCCCATAATACTTTTTCAAGAACAAAAGGAGAATCAAGCTCTAAATGGAGAGTTTTAAATGACAGAGACCCCTTCCTCTAACGTGTCTGTGAAAAGCTTTATTTGGCTGGAAGAATTCTCTTCTCTTTTTATAAATTGTTAGGCACAGTGCAAGAAATATAAATATGCTGCAAACCCAGCTTCTAATGACCTTTTCTCACAAAATGCGTTTTTGCTGAGGTGAAAACAGCGGAAGAGATACAATTCCGGATGATATATTTTGTTCCCATTTTACAAAACAGGATTTCATCATGTGAAAGAGAAATGGGAGTCCTCAGTGTGACTACTAAAAGCACCTCTTTGAAAATTAATGAAAATTAAATATTTGTACAGTCAAGTGAAGATCTGTTTTCAGGGAAATAGTTGCCCTGTGTTCTTGGGGTCTAAGCTGGGAATGGTTCAAAATAAATATTGAGGTTAGTAGCCATGAATAACAATGATGAAATATTAGGGTTGAGATGATCACTTTCAATCTCATATTACCAATCTGATTACACGATATGCTAAACACATGCTTTTTTCTTTGTTAAGGAACAGCAGCTTTATTATATGATTGCAGAGATACATATTTTCAGCTTTGCAGAAAAGGACCTGGGGGTCCTGGTAGACACCAAGTTGTTCATGAGTCAGCAACGTGCCCTTGCTGCAAAGAAGGTGAATGGTACCCTGGGCTGCATTAGATAAAGTATGGCCAGCAGGTTGAGGGAGGTGATCCTTGCCCTCTGTTCAGCACTGGTGAGGCCACACCTGGAGTACTGGGTCCAGTTCTGGGCTCCTCAGTACAAGAGAGACATGGACATACAGGAGAGAGTTCAGCAAAGGGCCACAAAGATGACTACCATCTCTCCTACAAGGAAAGGCTCAGAGAGCGGGGACTGTTCAGCACAGAGAAGAGAATGTGTACAAATACCGTGTGTACAAATACCTGAAGGCAGGGTGTAACCTGAAGGCAGGGTGTAGGCTCTTTTCATTGGTGGCCGGTGACAGGACCAGAGGCAATGGGCACAAACTGAAACACAGGAGAGCCCATCTGAACATCAGGGAACACTTTTTCACTGTGAGGGTGACCGAGCACCGGCACAGGTTGCCTAGAGAGGCGTGGTGGGGTCTCCCTTCTTGGAGATATTAAAAAGCCGTCTGGAATCAGCCCTGGACAACTGGCTCTAGGTGGCCCTGCTTGAGCAGCGGGGTTGGACCAGATGACCTCCAGTGGTCCCTTCAACCTCAACCATTCTGTGATTCTGTGAAAGGAACAGCTGTCACCTCATTTCGTAGCTTTCTTTGGTAATATTCCTACTCATTAGCTTCAGACACTTTTCTTGAGTCATATAACTGCTGTATTCAAAAAACATTGTTTTTGATGCTTTCCCCCCAGACAAAGAAGAATGAGATTTTGCTCTTAAGAACAGGATAAACTGAAATTCTTACGAATGCTTCTGAAGGCCTTATTTTAGTATGTATCAATAACTGCAGAAAACACAAAGCCTAACTGGTCGGAAAGAAAATCTCTTTCCCGAATGGCAGAGACTCCGCTTTTCCTCACCCAAACACCATTGACTCAACACGCAAAGGAAAGACACTCACATGCAATGCGGACGTAGGCTTTCCGGCTCTTGGTGGTGCCTGCAGAGCTCCAGGCAACGCACTGGCACCAGTAATCTTCGGGCCCGAAGAGCTCCTCAACTTGTTGGCGGGAAATCTCAATGCTTACCTCTCGGACAATCAGACCTGTCAGGGTACAAGTTATGCTGGTCAATGTTATGCTTACAGATAGAAAGAAAGAAGCGTAGGAACAGAAGTCTGCTTGCAAAGCTGTTGCGAGACCTTACAGCTCTTTACCAATATCTCCTCAGCAACATGGACTGTCATAAGGATGTGAAGGAAAAAAACCAACACTTTATCTCCATAATAACAGAAGTGGGTGAATGAAAAACTAATCACTGCGATTTTGACTTTTATTACATACCACATGTATGTTAGACAAATAAGAGGAACAGTGCCTCAGCTGCTATAAATTGTACCATGTCCCTAGGACAATTTACATCAAGTGATGATCCAGCCCAGTTGTATTTTCATTTGAATATCATAAAACCATAAAGTCATTCAATTTATATGACTCCCTTAGCCCTCCTGTATTACATCTCCTTTTGCTAGACAGATATAGCACAGGGAGAAGACTTGTTCACTCTGACGCTGAACTGCCCAGGAAAATGGATTTTGCCATTGTAGAAAATGTCCTGATACTCTGTAATGATGGGCACGTGTGCTGCAGTACGGTTATTGCAAGCTGCCAGTTTGGAGACTATTACTGTCATACATACTGCAGATACTGCGATATTTTTTAGGTGATTTTATAATACAGTGCAATACACTTCAGTGCCTGATGGTCTCCCTGGCCCTTCCCTCCATAACGCATCTCAGCGCAACCCCCCCAAACCCAGTCGCACCGACGACGACAGTGACCCACTCCCTACCCTTCCAAGCAGACCGATATTTGTCCACATTTCCCACACAGTGCCCTCCACTGGGAAGCTGTTCTGCTTCTCGTAAGCACAAGGAAATACTGCGGTGCCTCAGACACCACCGCAAGGATCGTTGGTAACGTGTTGATCCTCTAACGACAACCACTGTGTTTCATACTGACACAACCCCTTTCTCTGCCTCAAAATGCACTGCCTGGTCAAAACGCTCTTAAGTCCAGCCAAGATACTAGGTGGGGGTGGGAGTGAGTGCTTACACCTCTTGTCAGCATATTTGGTCTTTGTTGCCAATTGCCAAAGTATCAATAAACTTCTAATGTGTGTCTGCCTGTAGAAAACACCATCGCCATTTCAAAAATGCACTCTTGCAAACAGCCTTGAATATGTAAATTCACATGCAAGTATTTTGTGTAGTGGGACTGATTTTCTTTTTCCTTCCAGAATTGCAAGGAAACTCAACTGGAAGATCCTTGGATCACAGCGTGCACAGTTTGTCCCCATCACCAAACACCACGGGGCAGGTCCTTCTGCTGAGCACAGACTTGAGTTCGTGGAGGCCAGCTCCCCTCAGCCTCCTGCCACACGGCTTACAAGGTGATATTCATAATGTGAATGTTCCCAATTGTACAGCATGACGCGGTTCCTCAAGCGCTGGAAACCAGGCCAGCCCTTTGATTTGCCTCCAGCCTCACAGAGGCTCCATTCAGGGAGCCAACGATTAATTACTGTTTGTACACACTTGTGCACTGTCAGTGAGGCTGCATGCTGTTTGCATCCAAAACTTGGTTAACAACAGCAGAAAGGAATTCATGCATGTAATACCATAGACTTCTCTGGTGGGAATGCCTTCTAATGAGATGCATTTTCCTGCTACAGACTATCACAGCCTAGCTCCCTTTTTATTTCATTATCCTTGACATCTTTAGCCATTGAATAATCAGCTGCTTTGGGGAAAACACTTAATAGCTTTCCTCCTTGAAATGAAATACTCAAAATATGGCAACTGCACTCCAAAGAATGGAAGTCAAGGCAGTGCATGGGCATTTGATATGCAGTGAACACTGTGTTATAAACTTGTTCTGCTTTGATGAGCTAATTTGGCTCCAAAAGGGGTCTGAGGGGTAGCTTTTGTCCTGTCGAGAAGAGCATAAAGAGGGTGGGGAGGGATCATGCACATTACATGCATAAAAATGGTTATATTTTCCCAGTGCAACTGCTGCTAGCCTAAAGATTACTTCAGTTCATTCCCAGTTCTTACAGCACTAGCCCAGGGAGCCTTTGAAGGTTACAATATTATGTTTTTATAATAAGGCTGATTATGACAGAGCTTGATGGAGCAGTGAACTTTCTTACCCGAGAGCTAAAGCAAGCAGACTCATAACGACAGTACTGGTTAATAATGATTATGAAATAGTCTTAACATTCAGGCTGTTTTCTGATAGTCTGTTGAAGATACAAAACCATATGATAAATAGCTCCCACTGAACGCACCAGCAGAACTTTTTATCTCTGACTTCCTGAGATGTTTCCTAATTCAAAATAACAAGCTACTCCAGGTAATGTCTTTCGGGACAGCCGTGAAGTACTGATAGGTTTCAGGTTATTCAAAGTAATTTGGCCTTTGATCTTTAAGTAACATCAACAGTTGTGCCATGACCAAAGAGATGCACACCTTCTTTACATACCAAACAGATGCTGCCTCTTTCTGCTTACAAGCAAAAAACATCATTGTGTCTTTGACTCTAAGGTAAACTATTTTTCCTAGACTTCAAAATGTATCAAACCAGTTGGTGATTCCATGAGATCATCTGGGATGTAAGGATCCACGGCCAGAACTCGAAGCTGATTCAACCACTCCTTCCCAGCATCGCCCACTGGCACCTCATTGCACAAACAGCCACATCGATTTAGGAGAAACATCTCAGCAGCTGAAACGCACCCAGCCTCAGACTCTGGGGCAAGCGCAAAGGCATGCGTTTCCCTTGTTGTACCAACTCGCAATCCTAGTCCTTCTGCTAACGCACGCCAACATGACCTCCTAAGCTAGATTACAAAAACCACAATTTGCTGCGATACCTCAGATAGCAACTGCCTTGTTACCAGCTGACATACTGCTGTACATCAGATTGCACAGAGGAGCTGGTACAGCCTGTCTGCTTTATTCAGGAGTGGAATGCTTATCCACCTCATGCGGGCACCAAGTGCAGGACAACCCTGGTATGACTTCAAACAGAGATCTTCATCTTGTCCCTGTTGAAGCTGCTTCTGCTTCTACATCAAAGAACAGTAGCTGGAATAATTAAAAAAAAAAGAAAAAAAGAAAGAAAAAAAGAAAAAAAGAAAAAAAGAAAAAAAGAAAAAAGTCAAACAACCTATGTCTCAATATTTCCAGACAATGTGACATGCTGTGCCTGTAGTTCAGGCATTATCGGATTGTTTGATTATAGGTGAGTGCACAACCTCTGAGTGCAAAATTAGAACTCACTTTATAAAATAAGTCCCTATATTTTGCCTAAATATATTTAGGACAAAACAGATTAAGAGATTAGTAGTAATTTATGCAGCATATAATCTACCTGGTATTGGCCAATTCTACTTTGCCACAGTCCTAAGTAACAAAATATCACCCTCTCACACACAGTATCTCCTCTACCTTACCTTCTTCATTAGAAATATACTGAATTTTTCAGTCTAGTTCCTCATATGGCTAAGCTATACAGCAGGTGAAGATATGCAGCATAAATGTTTTCTTACAACACTTGAGTAAGTTGCACATTTCCAGAATTAATATAATCACATAGATGGTGGCACAATCCACAAGAAGTCAGGAACCTCCTATTTTAAAGCAATGCATTAACAAACACAGCTAAAGGGAGATAACAGAAATGTGGGCAGCTAGAATGCTTGACAGGTCCCTTCTAATGTGTATAAATCCATAAAGAGCATCTATATAGTATTTCTAACTCGTACTCTCCCTGTGATGAATAGCTAGAATATCACAGGGAAAAGCATTTGCTTGCACTGTCCAAACTTGATTTGCATTCAACAAAGGGAGAACTGTTTCTGTAGCCTCTTGCAGCCCATCTGGACCTTGGGTATGAAGACAGATATGTGAAGATATTGGGTCTAATTATCACCACCCTATTTCTGGCAACAAGAAGATTGTGAAGAGAGGAGCTTTAAAATGAAAATGCAGAAAATCAAAGTAATTTAAAGCAATTCTACAAGATAAAAGGTAATTGTATCTTAAGATTGTTCACTGAAAAAACCACAGATCCTTGAAAATGCATCCCCAGATTGCTGGGTTCTTTCTGCACAAGCGTTTCTTTTCTGATCTCGGTGAATAACTGCAGCATTCCCAAGAGAGAAGCAACGTAAGAAGTTTTACAGCTTGAGTACGAGGAAGTAAAAAAAATCTCAGACAAAAACAAAACCAGAATTATTTGCTGTCATCTCTGGGTCCTGAGTATACAGATCTGGATCTGCTGGGTTATAAAAGATGTCACAGAGGTTGCTCAAGGCTGGGGCTATTTATTCACACAGATCAGTCAGATTTAATACACTTACCTAAACCTGGCACCAGAAAAAGACATTACATTGGTGGAATTTCCCTAAAGAGAGGTCCAAAACCCTGTAGCTGTTAGGAGACTAAATAAATGGGTCTAAGATATCCTTTTACCCCTAATAGTTTTCTGTCCAGTTGAGGACGGAGGATGGCTTACAAGAAGGCTCAGAGCGTTTGGCAGAATCAATCTGCGATTATGTCCCAGTCCCACAAATTAAATAGGTTCTTCATGAGTGACAATTTTACATATTAGTAGCACAGCATATACAATTATTCATTTCAATAAAATAAATGTATCTCTGGGACGAACACAACTTGGGCTCCGAAAAGGAGTAGGAAGGAACCAGAACTTTACTTATTTTTTTATTTGCACGTTAATGAGGGATTAATGGGCGGAGAGAGGTGGAGGGCGGAGGGAGCCTTGCTCAGTCTGCCTACTGCTAATGTGTGCAGTCAAATGAGCACAGGGGACAGGCAGTGGCTGATGGGTATATATCAAAATAAAATTACTACCCCTCCTGGAGCAAAAGGAAGCGTCAAGAGGGAATTGTGCCTTATATACATGGTCTTTTATAATAAACTGTATCCTAGAAACACAATCAAGCAAAGACACACTTCATTCATAGGGTCCCCAAGTGCTTAACTTAGCTGGCTATACAAACCGTGAGGTAGATTATCTGGTG